ATTGCAAAATGTGCCTTCGCACCAGGCGCTTGTAAGCCCAGCTACTCAGGAGGCTGAAATCTGAGGACAGAAGTTCAAAGCCAGCCGGGGAAGAAAGCCCTTGAGACTCAACTCCAATTAACCACCAGAAAACCAGAAGTGGTACTATGGCTCAAAGTGGTAAAGTGCTAGCCTTGAGCTGAAGAGCTGAGGGATAGCATCCAGGCCCAGAGTTCAAGCCCCACAACCGACAAAAAAAAAAAAAAAGAATCAGGATGGCTGTCTGCTTGGTGGGGAAGGAGATGGACAACATACAGCATTTAGTATAATATAGATATTACAAAGATCAGCCAGTTTCCTTAAACAGAGAAGAATCGCTATGTGCTCGGTCCTACAAACCATTTCCTACACACACATTCTCCTCTTCACTCTAACGCTGGACTACTGATCTAGCACACACAGCTCCCGGTCCCTTACACCCACTAGAGATCCACAGGCAACTCTGGCTGCTAAAATATACAAATCAGTATCAAATTCGATCATCCCAAACTACACTGTTAAATAAAAGTCAGATTAAATGGCGCTCCGTGGCCCAGGAGACTGCACCAAGACTCCACCAAGACCTCGAGTCTGGCTGGCAGGGACAGAGGGGCTGCTTTTCAATTCTTCTTTGGACTTTCAACTCCACTAGCTCACCCTTCTCCGTTCTTCACTTCCCTCCTTACTTCAGTCCATTTTCATTCATCTCTGTCTCTTGGTTATCCTAACCTTGTATTTTTTGTTGAGCAAAGCTGGGAACTGAACCACATTGGTTTGTGTACTTAAAAGGTTGGCTATATAGGGGGCTGGGAAGAAAATTTAGTTTAAACTGGAGTCAAGAAATCCCAAGCCACAGAAAAAATAATTCAGGGGGCGCTGGATAACACGGGGTCACTTCACTGTGAGTCGGTCCTGGTTGGGGGTTTTCTCCTCTGGTGACTGTCAGTTGAGGCAGAGACCTTAACACATGCCAAGAGACAGATTCCAGCTTTTTCAATTGTCAGGTTGATAAATGGCTAAGGAGCAGGCAGAAGATGACGGGGCTAGAAGAAACCAAGGGGAGAGGGTGACAAAATTTTTCTTCTTTTTTTTTTCACCCCTCCCCTCTACCACCCGTTTCAGCACAGCTCTCTACACACCAAATGCATCGCCACTTACTGTGACGAATAGGAATAATGTACATTTCGTAATGCTGATCTCCTGGGCAATTTGAAATACTTATACAGACTATCTTAAAATATTTATCGCTCCAGGACCATTTCTTACAAGAAAGGAATACCTTGAAGACGTTTTTATAAGAAAAAGAAAAAGCAAAAAAGCAAATCTGCCCTTTCTCCCACCCTGTTCCAAGTATCGACTAATCCTCTCAGATGCTTTCCCTTGCTGAATGCTTGTTTTATGTGCAGTTTAAGACGGTGTTTAAAATTTTCAACATTCCTTCTACAAGTGTGTTCCTATTTCAACAAAGCGGGTTTGAAGTGATGTTAGAAACCAGAACAGATGTTAGAAATTCCATCTTCCTTCTAGAAAAGGACCAAATATGACTGGGAGGTAATATCCCTCTCTCCGCCACCCCCCGCTTTTTTTTTTTTTAAGAAAATTCTTGTTTTCTTCCCCTTGACTCTGGATATAATTGTTTTCATGCCCAAAGTGGGTAGACACCACAAAGAATTTACCTGCATATCACCCCCTAAGAGTTCCATGGAGATCCTTCCAAGTACAAGATGTCTATAAAATGGTCTGCAATCAGAGTAGCTATGTTTAACATTTTGTTTTCTATTCTGCATCAGGGAACTGCTTAGCTCTACAAGTACAGCGAGCAGGCAGTCTAATGTTGTGATGACAGAACACTAGAAACAAAAAACAAAAGCTGGGTTTACGACTTCACATACCACCCACACATACCATTGACTCTGCAATCAAACGCTAAACCAAAGCTTCTAATTTGTTTGTCTATAAAAACATTATCTGGAAAGAAAAAGTCATCTCTACTCAAGTTGAAGATATAATATGAGGCCTCATATGAGTTCATCAGGAATATCTTGCTACAAATGAAACCATCCAGGAAAATCACCGATGTGATTTGCTTCATGAAAAGGTACGTGTATTTGGTTAATTTTCACCACCCTGTTAACATTTCACACAGAACTGAGTGATTCTTTTTCCATTCTGACAGGCATTTTAAAATCGCAATCTAAAATTTAGATGTCTGATGTTCATCAAAGCTATTAAATAACTTCTTATAATCAAGGGTTGTGTTTGAATCTAAAGTACACAAGTCAAATAAAAAAAATTCAGCAAGATAATCCAAATGTCTGAGGAAAGAAAAAAAAATTTTTGAGGGGAGCTGTCTTTCAGCTCTTCAGCTTAAGCCTAGCACTCTACCACTTGAGCCACAGCACCACTTCTGGCTTTTTCTGCTTATGTGGTGCTAAAGAGTCGAACCCAGGGCCTCATGCATGCAAGGCACACACTCTGCCACTGAGCCACCTTCCCAACCCCAAGAAATTCTTTTAGTCACTAACAAACACCAATGTTTTCTTCCTTCCACTAAGATGAAAATATGTATATCTTTTCTTTTAAGTCCTCAAATTACTCTGAGTTTCCTAACTCTTCCCTACCCCCACCGAGTTTTTCTCTTATGGTGCTGTTTATATGTCTTGTCACCCACGCAATTTAAGTGATGCTTTATTTTATATAGGAAGAAGTGTACATTGGCCCGCTTGTGGAATGCACATTTCAAACAACAACAACAAAATCTTTCAAGGTATTAGCTCTGATCTGGTTGATAATCCTTACAAGTAATGTGATACTGACGGGGACAGACAAGAGCAGAAAAGGTATTTGTGATCCTTAACTGATGCAAAAAAAAAAACACAATGACAAGAAAACTACACCTACTTGAGTAGAACAAAAGTCCTCCACAGACATTAACTTAAAATGCAATGTACAGAGACCCTGGAAAAACAGCCTGATTCTTTACCAGTGCACCTCATGTGTTGAGCTACTTAAATGGAGCTACTTCATGACAGTTGTCTTAGAACCAGCATATAAAGCTCCTGAATAAGAGTCAGGTTTTACTACGATCATTACCATGGTTTTATCAAAGTCATTGACTTCACCCAAAATGAAAACCATTACTAATAAAAATCAATAAACATGGACCTTAAGACACAAGAAGATTCTTGTCATCCTTAAATGCTATACCACATTCAGATTGATTCCATCGTTTTGAAAGAGTTCTTCTCTTCTTACAAACTATATAATGACCTCATCAGAATAACAACCAAAGAATTAGAGGTTCCCTAATAATATTTGATATATGTTTCTCTACGGAAGAATTTCATCCACAGGTTTAGTCTCCTAATCAAAGATAGACAACTCAGCTTACGGCCAAGGAGGAGCTCCCCGCTACATTCTCTCAAACATAGTTAATACAAACAGCACCTCATAACTACATAAAAATGGTTGCTCGGATTAAATTATGCAAACGTAGTTCCAAAATAACCTGCTCAAGTTTCAGCGCATTAAAGATGGACTTGCCGTGTTGCGCCAGGGTCCAGCGGAATTTCAGTGGGGACCGTGGGGAGCCCAAACCCCAAATCATCCTTATAAAAAAGTCTCTGAAACCTAAGCGCTCGAACATCAAATCCCACGGGGACATTCAGTGGCTCTGTCCCTGAACAGCATCTATCAGCCACGCAAAGCATAGCCATGGGTCGCGTCTTCAGGTCTCCATGCTGGCCTGCGAGCAGAAGGGGCCATCTTTGAAAAGTTCAATTTTCATTTTTAAAATAATACATCTCAGAGGAGGAGTCTTCAAAATAGGAGATATGTTGATAGCATATATTGTTTAATACATGAAGCAATTAAAACATATTTTAAATGATTGATTACTACAAAGTGGTATTTTCCAAACAGCAATATTTGTGACCAAATGCCCACTACAAAGATTTTTCTGTAAAGATAAAGTTTCTAGTTTTTTCTACTTAAAACCAAATGATAGAAAAAGCACAAAGTGATTACTATACCAAAGTAATATCTATAAGCTTAGCACGCAGTCTACTATCAAGGCTTTGAGAAATACAACAGACATGTCCAAATTAATAATTGTTCAGATCTGATTTCTTCATAAATAAGCTTTACACTAAAATGATTTTTCTGTTGGTTTATGTTAAAGACTTAAGAGAAATTCTAATTCATTACCCAAACTGTCAGTCATATTTCCTATCAGCTGAAATAATTTTCACAACAGGAAAAAGAATGACAACACAAAATATTTTCATTTCCAAATAGTTGGAAATTGTTAAGTAGTTAAAAGTGACATAAAATGTCAAATATTAAAGCAAAACCGTTACAAAACAGAACTTTCATATTCCACCAGCCCATAGATAGGGAACCATTTTGTTCTGAAATATGAAACCAGCCTGATTGATACCAAACTTAAATGTTCACTCTCTTTCTGTTACATAACTCGGTCTGCAAAAACCAAAATATGGAACTGCGGTTTACTTCCATTTACACCCCCTCCCCTAGTGAGTATTCCTCTTACTACATTTTAACACGTTGACATAAACCCCGCATCCATCCGAGCAGCCCCGCCGGGCCCTGGAGCCAGAGCTGCCTGCGCCTTCCCACAGTGTCGCGCGATCACTTGTAACCTCTGCTACTCTTCCTGCACTCGTTTTGTGGGGTTTTATCACAAGTGGATCAAACCTCGTGGAAAATAAAGATCCTTCCAACATACCCACAGCCTAGGCCTTCAACGTTCCAAACAAAACCACGATTTCTCTGTAATACTCTCAAAAAAAAAAAAAAAAGGTCAAAAGAGCTTCCGGGCCCCAGCTGAGCAGCCCGCCCTACCTTGCCCTGAAAAAGCAATAAAAATTCACACTCCAAGTCAAACCCTCCACCCGGAGTCCCACGATGGGAACTGGGAACGTGAACGCACAACTGTCGGCCCAGCGGCCGAGCGCGCTTCGCTAGGGCCTTGCGGCAGAGTCTGCATCCTTGAGAGCCACGCAGAACGTGCTGCGCACGAGCCATCGTCTTCCTCCCTTTTCACCCCGGAGTCGCAGGTCCAGGGCTCCGGGAAAGGCGGTGTCGCGGCTCGTGACGGCCTTTCCCTTGCACACCCTCACACGCGCGCACACACTCACGCGCCACTCCATACGTCCCAGCGCCTTTTGGAGGACCAGAATGATGAAATAACCGTCTCTGGGTCACCCCCCCCCAAAACTGAGCGATCTGAGGTCAACAGGGCCGGCCAGTCACCTCCCTGAAGAGACTAGAAGCCTAAGGAAACACAAAATCATTTCTCCCAAGGAACTTCTCCCCAAACAGCCAACGTGCCACCAGGTCAAGAAAACTTTAAACGCAAGGGGGCGAATGAAGTTCAGCGGAGACTGGAGATGAAGCCACAGAGGGGGTGCTTCGGGGTGTACCCCAAGGCGCTCGCCCCCACCCCCCAGCCCCCCGCCCCCTTCTCCCTCCTCTTACTTTTGGA